AAACATAATGTTCATTGCATCAGTGATTTTTAGTTTACAACTCTGAAATTCACTTATATTATGTTAAATGTAGAAAACAAAGTCATCTCATTGTCTTGCTCGCCGATACTACTTGGGGTCTTTATCAATCGTGTTGACTGCAAAATACGTTGGTCCAATCGTAATGTGTAATAAAATGTTTTCTAGTCTTCAGTTACATATTATATTATATTAAATCTAATCAATTAGTATAATTGGCAGAATTTTTACCACTTGTAGTATCATATTTTATATTTCATCTTGATCAAAACGAAAAAATAAAAAATACTTAGAACACTTAAATCTGGTCACCGTAATACATTCAATTAATTAAGAGTAATAAGAGTTACTTTCTACTTTAGTCATAGTAGTAACATAACCAGATCAGAGTTAGTGAATATATAACAATATTTCCAACTTTTTATTCACTATATACTACGTTGTTGGTAAAAGAATAAATAAATAATAGAAATTGTGTTTCAATATATAAATCTCAGAAAAAACTATTATCCTATTTACTAAAATAGTACAAATAATATAGAAATACTTTACTGATCTCAAACACTTGGAGCTTCAATTTTTGTCAGCCATTTTCTAACATTAATTTTCTATTGTTAATCATATAAAATTATATAACTATTACTGTGGTAAAATTTGATGTCGTTATGTTTTTAGAATTAAAACAAGCTAGGTTAGGTTATACGCATATTAGTTATATTATGCATATTGCTTATTTATTATATTATTAAGCTTGTTTAATATTATTAACTACATTGATTAAACATCAATATTCATGTTTAATTTATGATAAATATAAACCATATAGTTTTACTGTAATTTTATTTAATAACATCCTGTTATCTAAAATAACAAAGCGTCATTAAAATGTCAACTAATGCTCCGTTAATAGCACCAATACCACCCCCAACTGCTTTCTACTAATAACAAGTTGAAGTTCTAAGTTATTATTAATTTTATTCAATTTTATGAAATTATAAATGTATAGTTTGTTGTGTTATTATAATTCAATCGCTTTGTTTGTTTTAGAACTTTTAGAAAATACGTCAATTGACAATATAAAATAACAAAAGTACTTATTATTTTTACAGATTTGAATTACAAATAGTTTACTGTTGAATGTATACCAAAATGATATGCGTACTTTTCTATATTATTTCTCAATATTTCTGTGACGTTTCTAAACGTTGACGTTTAATGTGAATGGGTAACAAATTTAACGTGACGGTAGCGGTCTGTGACGCGACGTTGACGTTCCGTATAGTGTGAATCGACCTTTATTATTTAATAATGTGCATAATTTATGTATCGAGTAAATTTAAACGATTAATATGCTTAATATAACATGTTCATAAAGTTAACGTATTAAATATAACAGAATGTGTGGGCTTATGACCGTTTACGCCGAAATACTTTTAAGCCAATCGTAAGTACGATTTAAATTATCAGCCAAGTAAGATAATCGCAAAATAGATTCCATGTCGACCGTATTATCTGTACGTCGAGTTAATTCCGTAGCTTGTGGACGATTAGGTACATCATTATTTGCACCGATGTCATCTGATTTTCTCGAATGGACAACGTGATCTGCATTATTACATTTATACAGTTTAGAATTAACACAATTATACTTGTAAGTATATCTTTTTTTATTTATTTAGTAATGAGTTTAATATTATGTTAAAAGTAAATTAAAAGTGACATTTTAATTTAAAATTTTTGATATAAATTATTATGAATTGGATCCGAAATTTAAAAACCAACAACAAGTATTTGAGACGCATAACGCAAAAAAGCTGAGCTCATAAAAAAATTAATTTTGTTTTCTTACATTGGATATTTTAGAATCATATTATATTTAAAAACCTAGCTAACCCGTTCCTAAAAAAAACATCTACTAGTAAATACCAGAACTTAATTTTTTTGGAGCTGATATTTAAAAAATTTCAGTTTTTTTTAAAAAATTAATTTGTGAGTTGAGCTATTTTTGTGCATCTGAATTATATAAATATAGTGTTCGTCATAATGTTATTTCAATATTTTAGGGAAAAAAATAATATTGATTGTGCTTTCTCGTTTAAACAGCTCTTAATCTGATAGGAATATTAATAAAACATATTTTTACCATTAAATGTTAGCATAGTTCGTTTGGAAGGATTATTATACATAAACGGAACTGTTGATTGTTTTTGTATTGGCGTTGGGACTGATTTCTTTAAATTTTGATAATTTGTAGATTCAATGGGGATTTCCTCTACCAAATCATTTTGGTTTGCCTGTTCAATACTTTCTTGCTCATCATCAGTATAATTGAAGCCAGCTAATTTGCCTTCAATGGTGATTTTGCATACTCCAACATTTTTTTGAGTTATGACATCGTAGTTAACACAATTGTCAACAGCCGGATCAGAAGTTTCGTTAGATTTTAGTTTTTGTTTGAATACTTCCAAAACGTTTTTTATTTTCTTAGATTTGTGTATTCTTTTCGTTCTGTCTATGACACAAGTTCCAATTACAAATTATTACAATATCTATTACATATCTATGTAAAATAATATTTCTAAGTAGTTTGTAGTATTATCGTGATAAACTTATCAATTAACATTAGATGATTCAAATGAATTGATGTATTAACGAAGTGAAATTTGACTTTACCTAGTGGTGCATTCACACAATGTCGTACTGATGTAAGCAAAAGTATGACAAATAAGTTCATATACTTAATAAGAAATAAAAAAACTTATTATGTTTTATTCATAGGAAATAATTGTAAAAATTATTTTTCAAAAATTATATTTGTGTAGATATTTTGTTGTCATAAATAACAAAACCCAAATCCTTGTCAACCAGATATACGTGTAATTAAAACAAAATACAATCATATTATTAATGATAATAAAAAATTAAAATAGTTTACTTTATGAATTTATAATATTCGATCTCAGTATAAATAATAGATATTAGCCACATATATAATTGTAAAAACTATATTTCCACCCAACCTAATCTTAGTTTAATGTAAGGAATTGTAACGTGTCTGCTTGGCTAGTTGGCTAGGCTAGGCTGAAACGACAGTCGATAGGGTTAAATTAGTGGACCCGAAGACGGGACGGATGGCTAGGCCGTATCTACACTTAAATATCCCTAAAGTCTCCTTTGTATACTTGCTATATCGCCTGAGGAGCTTAACAGGCGATCGTACCTCTAAATAACTTAACTCTCAAGTGTGCAACGAAACGAAAACAGGTTTATTAAATAAGTAAAGCTATGTACATATATATTACACCTCTACCTGGATCCTAAAGCGTTCTCTGTAGTTAGTCCAGGTAATGGCGGAGTTGAACGGACACACGAGTACGGGTAAAGTTAAAAGAAATATAAAATAGTAATGTAACGTGAAATATAGGTAATGGCTTTAGAATAATTAGGTCGCGGTCCGAAGATGGTAGTATGTCAACTCACTGGGCATCGGTGCCCCTGGCATTGTCCCGTGTGTCTGTTGTCTCCCCTACCTATAATGGCTTACATGCTAATCGGGCTAAACTGCCAATAATGCATATTTGGAGGCGAGTGGTAACGGGCGGCTAAATGTGACCGTTACAGCTGCTCGTCCGTTACAGACCGTTACAGAACTATAAACTTAGTGCGCCCAAGTAATAAGTAAAAGTTTCATATAAACTAAAAACAATTGTTTTGACACTTGATGAAGTTTTTATTATTTGTTTGATTTTAATTGTATTTGGATACATAAAGTCAAGGAAATAAATCAATAAATTTAATAGTTTTGTATTTTTTTTTTGTGAATTCAAAGTTAATTATCACTTAAATCATTTAAAGAATTAAGTTCATAACCTAGTATATTCTAGTAAGTAAGCTTTAAAATAAGATTAGTAATTCTTAATACAAATCGTATAACTCTTAATAACATTGTACACAAATTACATGCAAATTACATATACTAAACTTTGTATTGCCTAAATGAATTTTAATAAAAATACGTTATGCATGGTTCTAAAGTACAAAATTTGAACAATTCAAGTTCTTACAGATAATAATAAAAAAAAGTCTCCATTACCAAACTTTTGCCAGATGTTCCTTATACATTTAAGTAAGTACAGTACATATTTTTAATAAAATGTCAAACTTTGAAGTTACTTATACATCATAAAAAAAAAACTAGTATAGTTTGATGTTCTTCAAGTTTGAAAAAAATTGTCTAAGGATATTATGTAAAAAAAAACTTAAATTTCAATTGCTAAGTGAAAGTTCCTTTTTTGATATAATAATTAGTCATTAAGTAACGTGGTCGTGAACTTCAGGTATTTTTACAACAATTTACGGAATATAGCATCGCCTAAGTCCAGAAAAAAAATGTTTTCTTTACTTTTTCAATTTTGTGAAACTATCTACATAGGATTTATAAGTATGGGGCATTTAAAAAATCCACTCGCGTACACATCAGGTGATTTGGCATGAAATGACCAGTTATTAGTATTTGATTTTCAGCGGAAATATTAACCACAAGATAATGTGCGGACTCGACTGGTTTATGGAGTCAGCCAAGGCGGACCAAAAACAGAATAATTTCAGTAAGGAGATGTCTAGGGCATAACGGACAAAGCGACGGCTCTGAAGAGCTGATCCGGGCGGAAGCTAACGCCAATTTGCTGGAGAACTGGAGAGCGGGCAAGTACACGTCATCGGTCAAGACGCTTGTAGAGGAGTTTACAAAGAGCAAAATGTATGGATCATGGTGGTTATACGGACCGTAATGCTATAACATATCCATGATTTAATGTTTTTCCGAGGAGCGGAGAAAAAAACATGAAATTTTTTTATTTTTATTATTACCTTTATTATTACCTTTATTTACTTTTATTATTTTTATACATAAATAAATTGACTTAGTAAGGCTCATAAAAAATCTCTGTATTATTAATTTCTGCGTTTAAGCTAGGATGAAGAATATTCTATCTTTAAATAAGGTTAATACATAGAATAGATTAAATTTAGTCTATTTAGTCTTTCCCGTGATTAATATAAGGTTCGAGTTTGGCGATTGTAGTACAAAATTATCCTATACATCTTAAATGCTGCTCTCTCGCGGGCAATGTCGTAGTTTGAGCCCGAACCTTCTTTTCTAAATTGATTGAGTGTACAAACGATGTCGGTGGTATGACGACTTGAATACTCGACGCGGTACACTGGTAACGATATTTTGTTGACCAGACAGTATTTTTCTAGAGTAACTGATGGACACGAATCTAATATTTCCAACTTGGTAATCATTTTTCTGACAGCCAAATATTTTGCCTGCATCTTGAATTTTGCTAAAAACGTGCAAAAACTGGTTTAAAATAAAATTTATAATTTACGATACATCTTAGTGATTTACGACGTTACATTATCTATAGTTTTTTTAGGGGTTTCGGTCAAAAAGTCTAATGTAAAAAAATTACGGTCAAAATATCCAATGAGAAAATATCCAAAATAATCAGTACCTAGCAGGCTTAGGAACTAAGGGTTTTTTATCGACTTTACACAATTGTTCAGGAGAGCAATTTTAAGGTTCACTAATCATTTAGTATTTACTAGAGCTCTATTAACTTATAAAACTTAAATGTCAACGTTAAATTTTATTAACTTTTCACCAGACAAAATTGTAATTACGTTATTTTCAATTAAAAAAGTTAATGAAATGTATGTGTTACCATTTAAGTTCCAAAAGTTGATATAAAAATAATTAGGCTGGAGGGGGGGGGGGTGTTAAATAAATATTTGGAAAAAATGCTTGGAGTTATACTTGAAAAATAAGAAAGTAAAAATGTGTTTCTTAGTCCTAAAATTATCAACGTAGACTTAGAAGAAGGCAGTTCATTACAGAAGATTTATAAACAAATTATAGTATATGTTATTTTTGTTTCATATTTAAATATAACAATAACTAAAATAAATAAGAGACAAGAGTTTAGTTTATTTTTTTTTTAAAAACGTAAATAGGTTGATTAAAGAAATTCGAAAATGGCTTAACTCAAACATTTAATCTGCATCTCTATTTCCACCAAAAGTTCGATACAACAATGTTAAGTGGTAATAGAACTAATGACGTTTGTAAAGGACGGAATAATCGATTTACAAATCTAGAAAGATAGAATGTTAGGTGAAATTAAAAAATTTTTTTTTTTGTTAGGTAACTCGCCTAACTGTCAAAAAAAAGTTGGCCATCGATATTTTTGTACTATTAATTCTAAAAAAAAAAACAAAATGTACTTTACTAAAAAATTGTGAGATGAAATAATTTTTTACGAGACTTTAACTAACTTAGATAACATAAAAATGTATAATTAGTTGACTACGTTTTGTACTAACTTATGATTTATGTATTTGTAAAATAATAATATATTTTAATAATATTTTTGATTAGGATATTTTTATCTTTAGGTATTTTGACATATTTTTGTTAGAATACTTTATCCGTGGATTTTTTGACATAGATTTGTTTTTAGCAGTTCATTGATATTAAAGACAAATAAAATCTAAATTGTACAATTGTTAAACAATCATGTACACAAATCAATTCAAAAATAAAATAAGTACTCAGTCAGGCAATCAAATAAACAGTTTTTTTTGTGGTCTTAAAATTATTTTTACTAAATTTAATAATTATTCAAATAATGACCATAATACTATTTACCGTGAACATGACTAAAAAACCGAGAATCCTCAGAACGTAATTGAACACAGTAATAAGTTGCTGAAAGACCTTTGATCTTCTCGTTTACCCAAATGTCAAAACTATCCTCTCCATGATACTCAAGTTTGTTTTTCAGCGTTGATAGAAGACTTTCGTATCTTTCTTGTGTGTATGTCAAGCTTAAAGCTAAGTATAAAAAGTTAAACATACAAACATTAAAACAACAAGATAAAGCTAATACATAATATTTTTAAGAGAACGATTGGGAGTCGAGATCAAGACTTGAAAAAATATGAATTCTTTTTCATGATCTGGAATCAACCAAGTCAAATCTAACCAATCAAAAATGTCATCAAACTCTGTTTTAAAAATTCCAGTAAACATTATACAGGGTGATCTAACTAACGTAAGACAGTCAGTTTTTCTAAAAATATAAATATTTTGAAAAACAATTTTTTCCTAAACTTTTAGGTACATATTTTTCTACATTTTTCAATATTTTGAAAAAATTTATGACCAGTCCTTATAAGCCAAAAAGGGGGATTTTTGTTTTTTTTTAAATGGCAACATATGTTTTTAATTACATAAATTTGTAGACAAAAAATTAAAAATTGTGTTAGCGTTTGAAGTTTGAATTTTCATTTATTTGTCCATGTGTTATGACTTTATAAAGTTTGATTTTTATGTATTTCTTGTGCTGTATTTTCAATCGTTACTACAAAGACGAGTTTTTTTATTTTTTTATTTTTACACGTAATAAACAATCTGTATCAATTATACTAGACACAATTAGAATATGTGATAAATGTTATAAAATCATAAAGTTTTGTTGAAAGAAGCCACTTATTGATAACACTTTCTGTTAACTTGATATTAACTTAATTTAAGAGATCTCGACACCAATACGCTTCAGACGTCCGGAGGATTACCAGGTATTGTAGGGGTGGCCAATTTTTTTATTAATGGATTTGGATGATTATTTAGGCGGCTATGGAATCTTTTATAAACGATTTTTGCTTCATCACTTATTATTTTTAATTTTAAGTCGGAATGTAGTGTACAATTTGACATGTAGGGTGGAGCATTCGTTAGTTTTTTAAGTGCAATATTTTGAAAGGCTTGGATTTTCATTGTGTTTGACTTTTTCGCATAGCCCTAGAGTTGCAGGCCGTAGGTCCATAGTGGTTTTAAAAATGTTTTATATATAAGAAGTTTTGTTTTAATAGAGGTGTATATATTATTGGTTAATAAGGGTTTGAGCATGCGAAGACGATGATTCAATGCTAATCTTTTAGTTTTGATGTGTTGAGCCTACGTTAATCTTTGATCTAGGGTGAGGCCAAGATATTTGATTTTAGGAGAGTAGGGAATTGGAGTACCGTAAAGAAGAACATTAGGACAAGGGGTATGTCTGAGGGTAAAGGTTGTATGAACGGATTTATCCTGGTTAACTTTAAACCGCCATTTTGTAAACCATTTTTCTATAGCTTTAAGGTGAGTTTGAAAATTAATTGACGCTATGATTGGATCTTTATTAATAGATATTAACGCTTTGTCGTCAGCGTAGTCAGCTACTGAGGTGTTGGGAGTAGTAGGCTGGTCAGAAGCAAAGATGTTATAAAGAATTGGAGATAAGATGCCACCTTGAGGCACGCCAGCATTTATGGAAGCTATATCAGAAAGAGCGGATCGGTGGCGAGCTTGAAAATGTCGATCCGTTAGGTAGGATTTGATGAGTAGGTAGTAAGTGGGAGGAAGGAGTTTCTTAATTTTATATAAGAGGCCATCATGCCATACCCTATCGAAGGCTTGTGAGATGTCTAAGAATTCGCAATTGCAATAAAGTTTTTTTTCAAGAGAAAACGATATGGCATCTACGACTCTGTGTACTTGGTGTATGGTTGAGTGAGACGCCCAGAAGCCGAATTGGGTATTTGGGAGAATGTTTTTTTCAGCAATGATGGGTAAAATACGTTTTAGAATTAATCGTTCAAGTATTTTAGCGAAAAAAGGAAGAAGGCTGATTGGTCGATGCGATGATGGAATGTCTGGCGGTTTATTTAGTTTAGGAAACAAGATTATAGTGGAGAATTTCCAGAGTAAAGGGAAATAAGAAAGTCGAAGTAAGGCATTAAATATATGAGTAATATGAACGATAACTCTAGTTGGAAGTGATCTGGCTACTTCCGCAGTATTGCAATCATAGCCTGGAGATTTATTTAATGAATATTTTAGTATGGCGTATTTTACATCGTTGGGTGTAAATGACTTGACAGGGAGAGATAGAGGTAGAGGAGAGTTCAGAAAAGTTTCTACTGAGTTCATATTTTCGTTGTCTATTATATCAGAGTGTGGTTGGAAAGTTTGAGAAAGATGGGCCTTAAAGAGCTCAGCTTTTTCAAGGTCAGAGATAGCTAGGCTACCATCTAATTTTTTAATAGGGAGATTTGGTGATTTATAGCGAAGTATTTGTTTTGTTTCTCTCCAGAGACTACCGTCTTTAGGAGTAAGCTTTATTAAGTGATTTTGCCAAACATTTGCCTTCTGTTTCGCAAGCATTTTTTTCAACGAATTGGCCAGATTATTGTAAATTAGTTTGTGGGAAGGGAGCCGAGTACGCTGGTAAAGTGCTCTTGCTCTCCGTTTTTCAACTATTTTGTTTCGTATGTACACAGGTAATTGGTCTGGTGAGGTAGGAGCTGGTATATTATTTGTAGCAGCCATGCTGCAGTTTGTATTACATTGGTAACAATTTTGACCGCTAAATCAATGTCGTCGGGTGTTTTTAATTTTATATTTAAATTTATTTCTTTAGCAACTAGTTCAAGAAACTTAGAATGATCTGTGTATCTATTAAATAGTTTGTTGGATTCTTTATATGTTGGAGAAGTATTGAGAGTTAGGAGCACTGATGAGTGATCAGAATTTAGATCAAGTAAATTGATAGTAGAGCTATATAAGCTATTCGGTAGTTTGGTTACAAAAATGTTTAGTATATCAGGATTTTTACGGGAAGACAAAGGCCAGTACGTTGGATCAGGTGGGGCTTGAACTTTAAATCTTTTTAAATTAGTAAAGGTGTACAAGGTGACACCTCGTGGGTTATTCACTCGGCACCCCCATGACTGGTGTTTGGCGTTAAAATCGCCGCCTATAATAAAGTTGTTATTAAATATGCTAAAATAATCAGAGAATTGTGTGTTAGTAACGTTATGTTTAGGGGGTGAGTATATGGCAGCAATGGTGAGTGGAGTATTATTTATCTTTAGATTGATAGCACAGGATTGGAGAAAAGTTTGAGAGAAACTAGGTAAGGGATAAAATTCTATAGTAGATTTAACAAAAATAGCAGCTCCGCCATGCGTAGTGTTGTCTGGGCGATTTGTTTTAATTAAAGAATAGCCAGGGATATGGGTATACGAGTATTTAGTGAAGTGGGTCTCGGATATGAGGGCAATATCAATGCGTTTGTTGATTTAAACGGATTCGAACTCATGGACATGGTTTTTGAGTCCATTAGCGTAAAATTGTAATATTAAGAGCGAGTTGTCTGTGACGGAAACATTATAATTATTAGCCATTAATTGTCGAGGAGCTTGGAAATTACTTAAGTCAATAGAGCTATAAGTGGGTATATTATAGTTTTATATTCGTCTAAGAAACTGGTCATTAATTTGTTTAAATCAGGAGGATGGGTTTCGGTAGTAGGGGGTGAAGTGTCGATAGCTGGAATGTTGGATGTAATCTGAGCGTAAGTTTGCGTTTGTGGCGAGCGTTGATTAGAATTAGTGAGATTGGGTGGGTGGCTACCTTGTACATTAGTGGATTTAGTTTTATAATTATTATGTATACGATTACTTGGTGCGGTGGGTATTTTTCGTCGTTGAAGATCTTTGTAGATTGTGCAGCCTTTGTAGTTGGCTGGGTGGCTTTGGGAACAGTGAACGCATTTTGGAGGGTCATATCGTGAGTTCGGGCAAGCAGATGACTGGTGATCCGCTCCACAGCGAACACAACGGGGATGTAACCACAGTATGTTCTGGTGTGGCCGTATTGTTGGCAATTGAAGCATTGACTGATTGTTTTTGGTTTGTGTGGTTCTTCAATTTTTATTTTACAGTGAAGTAGTGATGAGTGTTGGAAAATTTCATTAGAATGTAGTGTTGGCTCAAGATCAACGAAGAATAATGGAAGGGGGTTTTTGTCAACTTTGTGTAGTACATTGGTAACTTGTCTTACCTCAAAAAACCGAACTTCTAGCTCCTCTTTTATTAGAGTAAGAGGTGTGGACGGGTGAAGGTTACGAATAACTACCCGGAGTGGTTTGTCCTCTTTCAGCTGATAAGTATGATACTCAGCTTTTTCGGTTTTAAGAAATTGTATTAAAGCTCTGTATGCATTAGGGTCCGCGGTTTGTATTTTTAATGAGTTTGTTGTAGACTTGCATATGAAATTGTCGACACCTATTAGCTCAATTAAGGTCGTACATAATGCGGGAAAATCTTCGACACCTTTAATAAATATAGGAAGAGGTTTAATGACTATACTTTCATTTTCAACAGTAGTTTGATGAGAGTTGTGCGGTATTACGTCAGTAGAAACGGATCGTCTTGGGCAAGTATTTCGAATCTGTTACGTGTAGCAAACATTTTTTTTTTTTATTGTTTTTTTGGATAATAATCGTATTTGGGTTCGGCGATGGTGGTTCGGATTGTGTGTTTGAGAAGCTGGAACGATTACGTTTATTCGTTTGTGTTGTGAAGCTATTATTATCCATGCTGTTTGATTGAAGATTATTTGATGAACTATTTAGGCGAGAATCCTGTATAGTAGTTATGTTTTTATTTTTAATAATATTTTTATTTATATTATTAGTTTTATCATTCGGCAATGTAGGCATTTTATCTCGAGGACAAAGGTCGCCTTCCGTTGCGCCGCGCGCGTGATAAGGTTGTAGGTAATAAGACACTTGAAGTATTACGAACTAAACACGGTTCACATTATATAGATAATTAAAGACGTTTTAGTGAATTAAGTATTAATAAACACTATTTGGTAGTTGTGTGCGTTATAGTTTTATAGGCCAAATTTTGGAAACAAAAATTGGCCAAAAATTGACCGAAACACCGGTATTTAACGGATCGACGGAAAAAAGCGTGCGTTAGATACGGCTGCTCGCACGGTACTACAAAGACGAGTAGTTTTATTACATTGCATGCAAATAATTTGACATGTTACTGTACTCTGTACCATAATCAGATATAATAAATAACCTATAATCTAAGTAATCTGTATATAAGAACCTTTGTCTATTTCAAAATCTTTTATAATGAATTCCCATAGTTGTTAGAATGTTATCGCCAATTGGACAATGCGAACATAAATATGAATTTGATGTGCTACCGGTTTTGGAAAACCGAAGAAATATGATTATTATTAAGAGGAAATGTAGTATCTTAACAAGTCATGATTAATAAACAGATTAATAAAAATAGAAAATTTTAACGCTAACATATTTTTAAATTTTTTGTCTACAAATGTATGTAATTAAAAACATATGTTGCCATTTAAAAAAACAAAAATCCCCCTTTTTGGCTTATAAGGACTGGTGATAAAAATTTTCAAACTATTGAAAAATGTAGTAAAATATGTACCTAAAAGTTTAGGAAAAAAGTGTTTTTCAAAATATTTATATTTTCAGAGAAAATGAGTGTCTTACGTTAGTTGGATCACCCTGTATATATTTATAATATTAACTACTTGGTTAGTTTAAAAGATAAAAGTTTAATCTGTTCCTTTAACGTAGGTTATAAGTGAGTATAATCATTGTATAACCATATACTTACCGTTCGAGAAATGTTTCATAATTGATTTTGTTTTATTTACATTTATTTCTATACATTTTTTGTCAGAATATATATTTTTAATCGGCTGCGTTTGGGGTGTTTTTTTTTACTTAAATTTTAAACTTAAGTTTTAATAACTTATTAAAAACATGTAATTGAGTGGTAAAAAATTAATAAAAAAGATAAATTACCTAAATAAAATATAGCATCTTGTTATTAAAAAAAAAGGCAGGTTTTGTATTCTAAAATTATAAGAGTTTAAAGTTAGGATAAGAGGGGAAGTGCGATTGGGAAATGCGCGCATATAATAATAATACTACACTCCACCATTCCTCCTGCCCTAAACTTGAAACTCCAATACTTCAAAAATAGTTATCCAAAACTGGTTATCGACTAGTCAAAATGTTTAATACATTATTCTCAATTTAAAAAGTTAATATTTGATGTACGTTACAATTGAAGTTTAAAAAGTTGCTATCAATAAAACTAAGATGGAAGAGGGTAAAAACAAAAAAAATTGTGAATAATTGAGATTACATTGTATAAACAAAATATGAAAAAAAAATTTTTAATTTCTTATTAAACTCTATGAGATATTGAGTTGTTCGCGATAAGTGGATCACCCTGTACATATTTTTATTGTATATTTATATTAGTCACAAATTCAGGCTAAAATGTCAACTGTAAGTACAATCAAATATATTTAATTAACATAAGATGATAGACGTTAAAAAAGTGTGAATTGAGTATGTATTAGTACCAAAAAATAATATACAATTATTTTCCCACTAATGTATACAATAATTATTAAATAACTTTACCTTCCATGTCGTGTAGATTATCCATAAGGAGTTTTTATTGACATTGTTTTGCTGTAAAAATGACAGTATATTTGACACCTATGTATTATATTTTAATACACTGTAGGTTATAACACTTGTGCTTTTGATTGACTACGAGTAAACTGAATTCTAACAGTTGAAATTATATTATTACATAATACCAATTATGTAAAAAGGTGTTACAATCGTGAAGCCATATTACTCAAAAACAATTAGTCACATGGAAATTACATGTGACTTGATTTTAAGGAAATCTATAAATTAAACTAAAAATTAAGAAATATTTTCTCAGCAAAACTTATTAAAGTGAAATGTTATATTATGTTTATTTTAAATTTAAATTAAACTCAAACAGAGAAAAATAATTCATTAAAAGCCTAACGAATTAAATGTATCTATGTGAATAAAATGTTATGTATGTAATATGTATAATATATATTCATGAATTAAGTAATATCTAGTTTTGTTAATACGACAATCTACTACCTTAATATAATAGTAATACATTTATTGATTAATACATTCCATAGGTACTAGTACATTTATTTGTATTATTTTTTTAGTTTGTATCATACTTTATTTGTTTTACGAATTACGATATTTTGTAAAATTATTTAACCTTTAAGGTATTACATTTAAAAAGTTGATATAATTCTATTACATTTCTATATAACAGTATAGGTAAAATATTTTCGAAAATTTGTTAGTCAATGTCAATATCAAAACTGAATTATGTTACGTTTTTTCGAAAATACATTAATATAAAAATTTAATGGATTCCTCGGTGGATAAGAAATATGTTTAGAAACTTATTAAACGTATTTGCTAGCAATTTATATCATATAAATTATTTTTAATTATAGTTAAAATTGTAATTATATTATGAAAACCCTTTTTATAATGTAAATGCAATAATCTAAAAAGTGCCAACTAAAATATAAATATTATTATATTACGAAAACTTTATACTAACTTATATACTTTCAATATTCTTACAAAATGTTAAGATGTTGTAATAAAAATTTACAATACAGCTTTCGAAATTAAAAAAAAGACGCCATATTTATTTTTTAAATAAAATTATCATATTAAACTATATGTTATATTCATGTAGTTATAGCAATTTTAAGTTTTGTATTTAAACTTTTTATTTGTTTGTGAAAAAAGTTATAAATGTTGTATACTGTCGTGTATATAAATAATGTCGTAAGTTCTTTTAAAAACTTTAGTTTCCAAGTTGCTGTTAATCTATTTTCAATAAGTATTAAGTAGAACACTAACAAACTATTTGTGATATCCTACTCGACAAATTACCTGAAGCCCTAAATTGCGATGTTGTTAAATCATTATTTTTTTTCTGTACGACAGTTGGTTTATTTCTCATAAAACTACTCCACTTTCGATCTTGATTATTTTACAAACTTTTGTGGAAAAGAGAACATATAAAATACACATTATACAGCATACTGTCTATAAAAATAATATAACATGTTTAAAATATAACTGTAAATGTAGAAAATATCTCAAATTGCGTTAACAGAAGGCATCTATAATTCCCTTTTTTTATGTACTTACGGGTATATTTTTATAAATTGAATTTATAAATCTATCAACATATTTTTAATATAAGTTTTAACATAATTACGATCTTTTGACTTAAAAATGTCTTTATTTTGGTAGGTCACGTCAAATATTCACATTTTAAGCATCATAATCAAAGCGGCTATATTTATTTTGTAATAAAATGTAGCCTACATAGTAGTAGCAGACACAATTTTAGATTTTTTAATGATTCTTTAAAATTGGAGCTAAATATAAAAATTCTCTCATATATTTCATAACTCAATATAACTTATATATACATAACATAACTATAATATAAACTTTGTATTGTTGGCTGTCTAAATTTAAGAGTGAAATCGTCCAATAAAATATTATATTATAAATAAGTTATGTAAATATATAATATAATATTTTATTGAACCAATCTTGTAAATGAAACCTTAAGAAAAGTAGATGTGAGCAGTGAGTCTATACTGTTAGTAGTTATAAACATTAGCTGATTTGAATTGAGCGGCGAAGAGGCAAGGGGAAATCTCACCTCGTTAAAATGTCATATTGATTCAACGTAGGAGCGTCAATAGGAATTATTAAATAATCTATTAGAGTATAAATAATAAACCAAACACCATAAGTACTAACAGGTTATAATTTATTACGCACGCAGATGAAGCCCTTTAAATAAAACAATAATTTTGATTCATAATATTGAAAGCCACTACAGAACAATAAAACTTAAAAATATTGAACAAAAAATGAAAGGCATTACACTAAAGAGAAAAAAAAATTAGACAGCATAAGCGAAACGGTAATATTGATGTTTTACAAACATTAAACTGTCTGTTTTACATGCTATAAAATACATAATTTAATTATATTTTTTGAAAACTCGAATTTTTACATTTAATATTTATAGTTATTATAAAATCTTATCGAATAGTTTACTACTTACTGTCTATTAAAATGCATGCCTTCAATGTAGTGTACATATGATATTTAGCTATACCCTCACCGCCGAAATTATAGTTCAATTATACATTTATTCAAAATAACATCTAACAAACAAAAACAGTAAATAATACAAATTACAAAACTTTCAAAACAAATTTAAACGTTTGATTTTTACGACTATATTCTTAATTATACTTTAACGATGACAATTATCACTGTAAATAATGTGTATTTAATTATCATGTTACAAATATGATACGCGAATACAAAGACAGGTTTTTTTGATTTTAAATATATTTGAATTTCTGACTCAACGATCCATTAAGGTTTTTTAAAACTCAAATTATATTTGAAAAACTATACTAGTAAAAAATAAAAATAACTGATAAATACGTCATCAAGTTTATCATGGTTAATCTTTCGTCCTTGAGTTTATAATAAAAAAAAATAGTTTGAGTATGTTTCAGCTAAATTGTAATTTAAAATTGCAGGATTTTTGCGATAGACTTTTAGACGTTTAAATTAAATTAATTAAAAAGATATCGCATAACAAATTCATAGATGCCAATTTTCTAAAAAAATTACATATGTTATAATATAGTATAATTGACTTTATTTTTAATACCTAAAAAAATCGTTAGTAGAACTTTAATTTAGTTAACCGTACTATTTTTCTTGCGAGTAGGTATAATATGCAAGTTAAATTGTCAATTATCGGGAAAAAAAGAAAATTAACGTCTACATAATAATAAACATTGAATAGTCTGCTAGACGTCCTTTGTTTGAAGTTGATATATTAGTGATTAACAGTTTTAATAATACTAGTAATTTTTAGTATATACGTACAAGCTGTACAATAATTACAAATGATATATGACGTGTTGTATATTATTTTATTAAATAGCTATATTATATTGTATAGGGAAACCATTTGCAGTAAAACTGGGCTGAAGTTTCAGTTAATTTATAATAAATTTGACCTTTTTCACATGATAAACTGAACAACGTCCATAACAAATTATGTTGTGGTAACATTCAAACGATTTTCTTTATAATATGAAATCAGAATGTTACTATATTTTAGGACAAGTGCTATTAAAATATTGCATATTTAAAAAACAAATTTTCTGACATAAATAATCAATACTTAAGTCAAATGAATCACACTTTTAGTTATTGTCATAAGTTTTTATAAAACAGTTATCCTAACAATACATGGTTAAATGGTTGATTGTTATTGTCATGGAGTAATTTTGTTAAGTATAGTAATATTTATAATAACAAGTATAAACACAGTAAAGTATAACACAAAATGTATACATTTTAAACAATTTTTTCGAATGTCTGAAAAATATTATAAGTAAATAAAACTGTAAGAGATTTTGTTCTAACAATTTTTAAAACGAAACATGTTTTTGCCATCGTAAGTTGGCCTAAAGTATTAAAAAAAATGAAATAGAAATATAAACGTATTAGAAAAGGGTAAATCAATTATAAAAGATGTAATGATAGTAAAAAGGCGTTTGATAAGAAAGCTATATATTTAGTCAGAATGTATGATTTTTGTAATTTAACCTGAACATAGCCGTTGTCAAACATTGCTCTGTGTTTTTCAGGTACCTCATTGTTTAAGTTAACTACACCTATTTTGTAGATTGTAAGCAAATGCCACTACTGAATCGTCAATTTTTATTTTTAATCATATTAGGAACTTCACATATACTTTCTTTGCAATACTAGAAATAAGCATTACTAATAAATTAGTTAATAGTTATTTAAAGCTAAGATGATTAAACTAAAAAAAACATCCAGGCGTAAGTCTGGAATGAATACTTCAAAACGGTAACTTTCTCCCGTATATGCTTTAGTACAATGTATATACATTTATAACAATAAATATATTTGAAAGAAAACTGCGTATAATACTTAGATAATCTTATTACTATACTTTTTAATCTAATTTAATCTAAAAATAATTTACCAAAAGAGGTTGTTAAGTTAATTTATATTATATATAATTTATATGCGTTAGTTAGGAAAGTTATAATATTTTATAGGGACAAATGATTATAAAATGAAATATTGAGATATAGGATTGACTTTGATTTTTATGTACCAGGTACATTATACTTAATATAATATAACATCGTAATGCAAAGTAACTAATACTTATTAGAGAGAAAGAAACAACCGTTTATTAAAAAATAAAGAAAAGATACAATACAAATATTAATAAAAAAAACAAAGAAACGGCGAGTTGCTCGTTTTACGAGTTACCTTTGTGACACAACATACTGTAATAGTAGTACTAACAAATGAGATTTACTATGATAAATTATTATTAATATTAGTACAATTAATTAATCGAAATACGTCAACAGATAGTATTATTTTAATGGAATCAGTTTTGCATATATTTGTAATACTACTTTTAGGTTAGTTAGAATTAGAAGTTTATACAGTGAAGTATTATAGTAGTGACTAAACTAGTTTTAATGCGATAACTAAACTAGTTACTTAGGCTACATGACTATATGATGTAAACAAAAATTAAGTATTTTTATATGGCTTGCTTTTGTTGATCTACACTACTCGAAATGAGAACAGTAAAACTACTACCATTGAGTATATATTGTATATTCAATATATACTCAATGCTACTACTATAGCATATGGCATACTAGGTGCTTATAGTTAATTTATATTTACTCTAAACGTAGTTTTTAAAACTAAACATTTAACACATATTTTATTGTATATTGTTAATGGAGAAATAATAAAAATTTGTCATAAAAGCTGTTTCTATGTTTATTTAAACGAGTGTCCGGTATATTCAGACTACCAAGCTGTACAAATACGAATGTGTTTCTACTTGGCTCTACTTTCTATCTACAATTAAGCTATCGCGTGACTAGAATGTCCTACAAGACCTATTACAAGCAAGTACACCAATTAACGAAAAACTTCCTTAATCTACTTAATATATATATATATTTTTATATATAAATAATTAACGCCTAATTGCTAATTTGTAATTCCTGGACTCCCAGAAATACAGTCTCACTTTTACGTCTTTTTTAATTAGGCTGACCGAAATCTAAAGCCTGTAAAATGGGTAACATTAAATATTACAAATTAAAATATTACAAAATAATAGACATAATGACTAAATGAGAGCTTACTAGTTATCGTATTGTTACGATTTTAACCGGGTAATAATAACTGGTTTTGATTATAGAGGGATTTTTAATATGACACATAAGTATAAAGATTGATAATGTATTACTAAGCGATGAATAGAAAACTGAAAAACGATATTTTTCGATCTATGGTGAAAAAAATGCACACTCAAACACTAACTATGACTTTACGTTATTGTTACAAAAATTGACGATTCAGAAAGATTTTGGTACTATAATTAAAACAGTTTTTTCAGCTTATGATTGTTGACTGCCTATTACATACTTCCATTATATTAAATATTTAAACATACATACTATGTAGTATGTACGTCAGAGAACGATTATAAACAATAATTGTCATTTGAATAACAACAATTATTTCAAGCTGAAAAAATACGGTATCTAAAAAAACTTTATTAATTGAGACTAAGGAGACTAATTGAGACTACTTTATACAGTAGTAGTATTATTTTTAGTTTTTTTATTTATTTTCATAACTTATTATATTTAATTAAAATGAACATTGACAGAGTACATAGAGGTAATCATTATAATATGTGACTTGATTCCCCTGCCTTGAATATCGATCCCAAATAAGAAAAAAAGAATACTCAGATGTTTTCTAAGCTCTAAATCACACTGACTTTTCATCAAGTTAGGTCAATCAAATTTTATTTAGCTAACATAAAACCTCTCTAATAATTGGATATAAACTTTACATTACGAAAATAATAGAAGGAAAAGTTATCCAATATTTGTATGCAAATACAATTATTTTTACTAAAAAAAAAATCAAACAAAATGTAACTTATTTAATTTTTGGAATGATTAATTATATGTGACCTACAGTTATCCTTTGGGCTGTACTTGAAATGACTATAAAATAAGCATGGGTCTAAATAAATACAATTTCTTTTCTCAGGAATCAAGGTTTGAAGTTAAAATGAATATCTTAACAAATTTGCATTTTCAGGCATTCGAAAAATTAAATTAAGTTGTGTAACACCGAATATGGTGTAACCAAAGCCAGCCGTCGTAAAAGTGTTCTACTCTTTGTTTTGTTGTCGTTATTGTTATTTTTGTAGATTTGAAATATTTCTAATAACGTTTAATATAAATAACAATAAAATGGTTATTAAAGTTGTTGATGCTTTGTAAGAAGACGATAACAAAGATGAAATAATATATTCTACGTATAAGCGTGTCGATTATTTACATAGCGGCGTATAATGGGCTTCACTGTCGATGCAATTAATCTGTCTTTGCGATTAATGATTACCATCTGGAATTCCACGGGCTATTCTGTGACGACGATCTATACTAAAAAAAACAATAACAAAAATAAAACAATTTAATCAAATTGGTATAAAGCATACCGTCTAAGCTCGCGTTCTTTCTGTGGTCAATGTTAAACGTCCACAAACAAGTTTTATCGCTCAAATACCATAAAATGATGTATGTATATAAAAAAAAATTGTTTCCGGAAATCTATGACTAAACTATCATTGTATAAATAATACCTTCTCAGTTCCGCACCGAAGCTAAAATATTTTTGTATATATGTAAGACGTGACCTTTAAGTTCGATTTGTTCCCTTCGAGATTAATTCGGGCCACATGCAACAATGTAGTAAAATTGCCTATGCATTCCGCCGTTCAACTAATAAACGGGAGAATTTTAATAATGTTGTGTCTGTACCCAATAGACCTTAAGTTTTTTTGTAGCGCCTCTGTTCAATATTGGACGTACACATTGTTTTGCTATGACTTTTTGTGTAGAAAAATTTTGACGACTATCGCAAAAGCTAGATGAGCAAATTTCACAAACGTTTATCAAAAATAATAAAACTAATAGTGTGAATAAACTAATAGTTATGATTAATGAACATTGGAATCGGACTGGACAACATGGTTTAAGGATTGGAACTTGGAATGTGAGAACGTTATACAAAGCGGGAGCCCTCCAAACGCTAACAGAAGTGGTAGATAAATAAAACGTACACCTTGTAGCGTTACAAGAAACTAGGTGGCCAGGAGAAGGAAGTGTCACATCTGGAAATATGGTGTTTATGTACGGGGGTAACAAGAATAACAAACATGAAAACGGAGTAGGATTTATGATACATAAAAGTATGATGCCGCAGATTAAACAGTTCATAGTAGTAAATGAGAGAATATGCTACATACGAATAAATATGAAACATCATGATCTGGTAATAATTTGCACGTACGCTCCTACAGAAACGGCAAACGAAAAAATAAAGAATATCTTTTATGATTCATTAGAAAATACTTACGACTTTTTACCAAACCACTGCGTTATATTAGTAATGGGAGACCTAAACGCCCAAATAGAAAAGGAGGAAATATATAAATCTGTTGTAGGGAAACATAGCCTTCACGAAAGAAGTAACGATAACGGAACAAAGCTAAAAGCAGAGGAATGAATATCAGTAGCACGCAGTTTCCCAGAAAGAATATATATATATAAACATACATGGATATCGCCAGGTGGCAGATACATCAGCCAAATAGACTATGTACTAATAAATAATAGGTACAAATCAAATGTTACAAATGTTAAAAGCTATAGAGGAGCAGATGTAGATTCGGACCATTATCATGTAATTGGAGTCTTCAAGCGTAAAATGGCAGTAAAGTGGAATAATGAAGGAAAATTAAAAGCAACTCGAAAATTCGACATCGAGAAGCTTAAAGAAGAAGAAATACCAGGAAACAGTAGAAGAAAAAGAAAAATTAAAAAAAAAGAGACAATTAATGGAAAAGCACTATGAATATGCAAAAGACCTGCATATGGTGTTTGTGGACTATAAATAGGCCTATGATAGCGTGGTCAGGGAAAGACTATGGGAGGCGCTCAGGGCATTTGACATCCCTTTGAAAATTATCAAAATGGTACAACTATGCAGCAGTAAAACATATAGTAAAGTAAAACTTGGGAATGAAGTGTCTATGGCTTTTTAAATCAAAAGTGGACTACGACAAGGGGATGCCATGTCTCCCATACTTTTTAACATGGCATTGGAAAGTGTGGTCCGAGAAATGTCAAACGGTGACGCCTGGTCACTTGATAGAGGACTACTACTTGCATACGCAGATGACATCATAATCACTAGAAATACTCGAACAGAAGTTCAAATGAATCTGAAGTAATTAACTAAGGCAAGTAAAAATATGGATCTTGTAGTAAATGCAGTGAAGACAAAATACATGGTAGTAACAAAAGGATTAGATAGTTCCAACCTTAAAGTAGAAAATAATGAATTCGAACAAGTTAAAGAATTTAAGCACCTTGGAGTAACTCTAAACAACAAACATATTATGCACGAAGAAACAAATGTGAGGCTGAATGCAGCAAATCGATATTATTTCGCAATGGAGAACCTATTTAAATAAAAAACGATATCAAAAAATGTGAAAGAAAAACTTTATGTAAGCTACATAAGACCAGTACTGACATATGCATGTGCCATGTGGGCCACAACTAAAGGTGATGAAGAAAAACTAAGTAGATTTGAAAGGAAAATCTTAAGAAGAATACATGATTAAGTATGTAATACCGAAACCCAACAATGGGAATTAAGATCGAATGCACAACTGGGGAACCTATACAAAAGAGAAAATATTGAACAATTTGTTAAAAGTATAAGAATGTAATGGGCCGGACATGCGAAGCGAGCGGACGGATGCCTGATAAAAGAAATAATGACTTGGAAGTTAGCGGGGAGGAGACCAAGGGGAAGACCACGAAGAAGATGGATAGACAGCATAAATGAGATATGGAATGTGGTAGCCCAAGAAGTTGGGACGGATTGGCAAGGTATAGCGCAAGATAGAGAGAAATGGGAGGAGGTAGTTTTGGCGGTAAAGATCCTCAATGAATCGTGAAGCCGGAGAAAAAAAAATAGTGTAACAATAAATACAAATTCTAAAACTGTATACAGTGAAACTTGAAAATACGGTGTTTCAAGGAAACTTTGACAAGTTTATAATTAGTGGTGAAGTTAAATCATAATGATATTATTTAATTAAGATTTGATTAGAAACTTTTTTAGCTAAAATAATTATGTCATAGAAAAAATGGCTGTAATTTTAATTTTGTATCACCTGTAAAAGGTGAATAACAGTTTTTGAAAAATTACTTGTGATTACATATTATAGAATTTGAAAGTTTATGCAGGGGACAAATTGCAATAAAGTATTTTTTTTTTTGGCCGTAATTATCTACTCTTTTTGCTTTTCTCTTTTTACTTTCTAGTTAATTTTAAAATGCTCAATTTCTGTTTTTAATTACCGATTATAAAGACTTATGAAAGTCTTCCTCTACTGTTTTTCCCTCCACGAGCCTTTTTGTTCGGCTTAAAAAGTAGTAATAATATTACGTCACACTCTCCCTCTGTTAAAACTTCTAATTGCTAAAAGTAATCATTCAATATTGGTATTTAATCAGTTTACATTTTCCGTACAATTTTATGTATTTAAATTTACAACTCAGGAAATTAATTAAAGATATGAAGATTGTAAATAATGTGGACTACAAAGTTTTCCATAACAAAAGCTACAGAATTACAATTATTTCCAAAGAAAACCATCCAGAATCTTTAATTAAATTTAGCTGATTATATTGCAATAGTTGGTTTAATTGTTTTTTTTTTTACAAAGTTATGGTATATTACGATTTTTAAACATTTTGTTGAAGGTTACAACGAAATAGCTGAATGACATTTAACATTTTAAAAATAAGTGAAAAAAATATTCTATCAATCACGTGTACAGAATCTAACGAAAGAATTTTTAGGTAGTATAAGTAGTTTTTTTATTGTAGCTTTCCATAAAATGTCTATCTCACGTCAGACAAGTATTATGCTTGTAGAGTTAGAAACTTACAACGTTACATTATTGTAGTTAATAATGTTGTTGTCTGGCAATTGGGCAGAATTGCCTAGTATAAATAACGTTGGAGAATGATTAATTTGACTCGTGTTCGTACCTGAGGCGGAGATGCCGTTGTAAGCTTGTTCTCCATGTCATTACTGCTGGCATTCATGTACTGACCGTATGAAAAGTGTCTGGGACGTGTCATGAGCGTCTCGTAGCCGGGTCTCTTGTTGTCGGTACTTTCGGGACTTATGTCGGTAAGTGGCATAACAGGGATTGAGTCGTCCGCGGCAACGTTGTTGCGACCTCCGTTCCTGTAGTGTTTGATTTTTTCCTTACGGATTAGCTCCCTTAGTTCTTGAAACCTGTTCTTGGCCGTCAACCGCATTGCAGTGCCGGGTATCTTCGACATGGGGAAACCGAGCCGAAACAGATTTGGTTTTCTACCGGCTCGTTCTTGAGCTTGTTTCCACTCAAGGCTCGCCATACGAGCTACTTTGTCAAAAGGCCTCATTTCCGCGTACAGCTGATATCTGTAAACAGTCGGTACACATTGCAATGTTTGAAGATGATAGTTTTGTGAGATATACATAATCATTTTGGATGAAAGGATTCACGTAACACACTACATATACAATCAGATGTTGACTTCTTTTAGATAAACTCAACACCGAGTATTCACATCGATCATCAGATTGTCATACGATAATTATATTACACTCCAATCAGTGTAACTAATATTGATAATGTTACATATGTTGTTAAATTGCATGCACTAACAACAAACAAATCGGAACTATATGATGATTATGTATACAATTTCAGTAACAATACATAATTTAATGATACTATATTTTTGCCTCTGCCTGTCGCGTGGAACGGTTGTAAGATATGTGTTCTGTATCTCAAAAATTATTCTAGATTAAGCGGCGAGTTTTTATTTTTATAAAATCTATACTCTTCGTTTGATTTTTTAACATAGAAATGTACTTTACGCATTATTGTGTGCTTACGTTTTTTAGATATTCTAATCAATTTATAAAAATGCCTCGGGCTGCGCATCATAACGTCGCCGCTGATAAAGTCACACCCATTTCCCACTATACAAATTCACATATGTCATAACGTGACTCGGAAACCACACTTAACGTCTGCGACCATTTTCGTCCGCCTTATCCAGATAATAAACATTGAACAATTTATTAATGAACAATCCCTGCATCTATGGGTAATGTTGCATAAACACATAGGGTGCATTAAATGTATTTTATACGCGTAAAACTTAAAGTTCGCTGCCTCGGATGCGAAAATATTTTGTTTCTATTAATGGTCTATGTATTTATAATAATCTATTAATTTGGCATAGAGAAAATAGAAGTGTTTCAACAAAAGCCATAAAATATGTGATATAATATGGGAACTAAGTAAATACAATCATGTAATCTATAAGTATTATCAATGGTATTATATGTGCATCGTTGCCAAAAAATAGAATCTGTGTACATATTAAATCAGTCATGAAGAAATTAAAACAGTTAGTTTACTTAACCGAAATTCTAAGTCTGATTTTCTGCTATAGTATCCTATTATATTCCTATTATGACATATACTAGTTCCATATTTACTAGTTAGGAAGTAGAAAAACAGTACAAAAATGATGCATCATTTACCTGTCAGCCATCGATTGTCCCATCATCAATGATCTCTGCCTGTTCGCATATCTCGGCTTGGCATAGTCTTCATACAAATTGTATTTAAATGGGTCATCATTCCCGGGTATGTTATTAGAAGATTGCATTGCCTGTCTTAATCGCTGGGATAAACGCCACATAACTCGGAGCTCTACACAATTCGGTTCGTTTGGCAGCTGTTCGGTTTTGGCAAAGGATTTTACTTCTTCAACCGTTGGTTCCATTTGACGGTGTTCTACAATGGTCACTTTGGGTCCGTACATCTTTACTCTAGGATGTGTCATGCCTTCTGAATATTTGTTGAGGCCAAACAACATGTACACCATGACGGTAATGGTCATCATAGTCAGGTCCATCTGAAATATACACAAAGTAATTAATAATAGTTCTTGTTTTAAAAATTCAACTGGCACATATGGAATAAGATGCTAGAAAAGAAAAGAAAATTGAAGCACTTAGCCCACCTACAATTTTGAACTTCATACATCAAAATTCTGGCAAATGATTATCAACTAGTTGTTAATATTACATTATTGCTTATTTTAAAATATACATTTGCTCTCTGGATATTTTAGTAGTAGGAGATCATACGGATCGGAACAGAGACTAATAATTGTTCTGAAAGACAGATGATCAAAAATCATATCTATATTTCATATTTCTACCATTTACATCGAAGCGGTTTTTTTAATGTGATAAAAAAACTTTTCAATAAATGCTTTGGCACGAATCGTAGAAATAAAAATTGATGATAGAATTTTAAAAGATATAATGTGTTTGAAATTACATTTTGAGTATTAGGGAGGATACGATTACGGGTGATTTCCCGTATATATCGTAATTACTAATATAATGGAAATATTTTTCAGGTACCTGTGGACTATTATTTCACTCACACATAGCAACCAACTAATTTACTACGGTCAAAGTATAATTTCCTTTTTTTGGGGTTTCCTAAATAAAACAAATTTGAACACGGATTAACATGGTGAAACGGTGACCCTTATTGGCTGCTAAACATTTAACAATTTACTGTAGTACCAGTCTTATAGCTGTTTTGTTTTTAGGCGTATTGGTATTCCTGTGGGTTTTCGTCAAGCTAGACAGCTTCTGACCATACTTAAGCTCTATTGGATATTCCCATTATTTTGCACTGTCTTTTATTTACGCACAACGAAAATATGATTACAAGTGACTTGACTGAAAAACAGATGACTAATTTTCTTTCAATTAAGGTTGACAATTATTTGTTTGTAGTCTGGCATGATTGCATATACTCAAACTAATATTTACCTTATATCAGAAAAGTTCGTATAAAATGCTTATTTCAGAATTTTTTACAGTTATTATAGCTTCAGAAATTATAATTTGTAAAATCGGCTATCGTAGCTCACTATAAAATATTATGATTGATAAATTAAAAATAAAATTATAAGAATTAAACCATTTGTGAGCTATAATCCCTATTTCCATAGAGCATCTTTTAAATAAAAAGAGCACTAGTACTAGATACCTTAAGTTATAAAATAAATATAATAATGTTTTCATTTTAAATAAATAATTAATTATAAATTTGGCATGAAGTTGAAAGTTATAATAATGTTACTGTGATATAAATTCTACCATATTATGTATAAATAAAACTAAAAACTTATACTATGGCCGTAATGAAATTTCTTTATAAATTCATCAAAACATATAATAGGATCGTACATATAATTATATAAATACTCATTTGTCTCTATTTTAATAATAAGTACATTGTTTAAATAGTTCAATTATTATCTCTTGCCTGAATGGTGTAGCGTTTAAGCGGGTTGCTATTTGTGTTTATTTTTTAATTTTTGGTTAGATAAAAATATAGAACGACCAAAAATTACAAACAACTGTTATTATTATAGCTTTACAATTTGAATAGCTCTGATATGCAAATATGTATAATTGAAAATATCTTAAAAAAAAATTGTCATTAGTTTTTTCCGTTTTAATGTATAGGGCCGCGTTACAAATGACAAACGTTTCTAGGTGTATTGAAACAAGAACATATTAACATATTTTGTTTATTTTTCAATAAACATATAAATACAATTTTTTGTAATAGATCATTAAATTTGCTTACTTGCATATTATGTGCAAATTTTATTGTAAACTTTATTACATTATTATTAAAAAAAAAAAAAGATTAAAAGAAAAGTCTGTATTTTTTAATTGTTATTTTAGTTTGGTGGGTAAAACTTTATAGGACAACTTTTATTAAATATATTTCAACATGTTATATTAACTTAAATTTTATGAGTAAACTTTTCTAAACTGCAAAATCAATTTTTAGGTATTAATCACGCGTCATTTTTAAAATGACTGAAAGAAGTTGAGATATTGTAATTTGTATTTTACAAATGTAGGTTTTCTGAAAACACACTTACATTGTTAATATCCGATATTTGCTCCGGAACAAATGATTAAGTTCTGGAATAATTGTTGGAACTTTATCCGGACCCGTGTGTCTGAGTTTTCCATATGTTGATTCTGAGGTTATCGAAACCTTTGTTTTTTTGCTACTCTCTGAGTGTTATGTATACTTAACCTTTTTTAAGAATTGTTTAAAAATATATATATAAAACATTTTTTCTGCTAATTCAGAGGTTCTAGACCCCATCCCAAAAAAGTCATCCTATAAACAGTCAAACAAACGAAATATTTTTTTAAATTACCTGCGTATTTTTGGTCGGAAACAACTCATTCTAATTTTAATTGTGCCCTAAAATGGGTGTTCCAATAATAGTCTTTAAATAGATATAGATTTTTTAGTACTAGCTTTGATAAATCGACCGAAGTACATTTTCGTTTTCAATATTATTGTAAAAATCATTAAAAAACCTTGTGAATGTTATGAAGAATTCAAATTTTTTTTCAAAACTAAAATCGGAAAATTTTTAACACCGTACTGTTTAAAATACAAATATATGGCCAGTATGCGTTATAAAAGTAAAAAGAAAAGTTAAAATCAAAATAGATCCCTATTTTCTTTGTTAATATATTTTCATTTATTTAAAATGTACCAGTAGATATTACAGTCAGGAAGGACGTAGTATGCCTGCGCGTCGTTTGTTAGCGCTCACGGTACCTCTATAATTAAAAATAGTATAAGGCATAACAGGAACAATTTATGCGCAGTAAAAAATACATAACAGTGGGCTATCTATATTATTTATAAGCAATGGTATTAAATTTCTACACAATTTAGCCTAATATTAAGTTTTAGTGAAAATTGCCTAGGTAAATGCGCCTTAATAAATTCTAGTGTGAAGTCCCCTTAACTAATTCTATTTATATTCTAGTTACATAAGCCAAAAAATAAAAATCATAAAAGACAATTTTAAATTCCTCGGAAAATAGCGTTCTAAAGTCTATATTAAAACAATTAATTTTACATACAAATAATATGTTAAAATTATATAGTGTTTTTTCAAGTTAAGGTGTGACTTATGAAAAGTCTAGCAATGACACAAGAGTAAAAAAGGGGGGTTATAATTGAACGTAAGAAATTCTAAAATTCTACGTTGTACTTCTGTTCTTGTTTTAAAAACAAAAAAGTCTTTTTCGTTAGCCCAAATGTATCCGATTGAAATTATAGTTTGACCGAAAACAAAATCATAAGTCCATAATAAAAAAAAACCTAGTTATTTTCTCTGCTCCACGGAAACACGTTTAATCATGTATATGATATTTTTAATTTCTAATATTTTATCTCTTATCTCCAACTGAAAGTGAAAATGTAACGCGAAAATGGCGACGTGAAATTTTTTGTATCCAGCCTAATAACATCATCAAATCCATGTTAAAGTTTTAGAAGTGAGTAACAAGAGACATTCGTGGATAATATTGGAAGTGTAGAAAAAAACGATTAATACTACTGAAATAGGTATTGTTTGGTTATTATTTTCTTATAATATGGTTTGCAACTCATCTAAGAGCAATTCACATCGATAAAAACTGTTGAACGATTTGATACAGGCTGTCATGGTCTTAATAAGATCTTTGGGTAGATATTACCACATATTGGGAGGACATTTCAACTAAGACCGGCGCGATTTTGTTGTGTAATGGATATTAATCGAACATCATCAACTCGATTTGACAGAACGCAACAATATCTCTAATGTTGCTCGACAGTTTAATAATTGTTTCAATGGTTCAACTGAATGATGTGTCCGTCAGGGTTTGAAAAATGAAAAACGTTTTCCTTTATTAAAAAACGTTATACTCTAATGGATACGACTAATTTTCAAAAATGTTTTAAAACTATTACTATAACTCATTGTTAACACCATATTCTCTGTTCTACTTTATTAATTGCGTTTTTTTTTTAATTTCATACTTATAGTACACTGTACAGAAAATTGTATAATGAAAAAACGTATATTATACTTTTATGGTAGCAGTAGGGAAAAAGTGTAAAAATCGATTAATAAAATCGTATATGCACTGAAATAGCTATCATTAAGTAATATTAAACTTTCAAATATTGATTCACTATTCAAATAAACTACTTATTGTTCCATTTGGTTTTATTATGCATTTGGTCGTTTATGACGGCAAAAATGGAACATAAAAATTGAATGTCATTGAAGTCTTTTGTAAAATTATTGTTAGGGTAAATTTTATTTACTTAAACAGAAGCTTTATTTATTAAACAATTGTCTTGAATTGCTCATTCTGTGAATTACTGTTATACACTGTTGGCGACTCAATAGTAGCACAATATGGTTAAAATGTTTTCTTTAATAAACCACCTTTAAGTAGAGTGTTGAAACTTGAACAGTTTTGTAATACTACAAATGTACGGAAAATCTATAAAACAAATTAATTAGTCTACTAAATTCTAGTCCATTCCTTTTTCGATTTTTGAAACATGTTATTTAGTCGACTATTAATTAACTTTTAATTCGTATAATATAGTCGTCAAAAATAGTTATATCATAGTTTTGCAATTGGCTACTATTTTCATTGTCTCATAACTTAGTAGAGACATTTTCTTTCTCGAGTTCTCTAGAAAAATAATAATTGTTTCTCTTGCTCTATTTATCATCCAATTCAACATATTCAATACTTAATTATTGTGCCGTACAATACAAGTAGATCATTTTATCGTAAACCACTCAATATCGCATTTGGTTTAATTCTGTGGTGCTCGGGTAAAAGGTCTTATGTTCAAAATAACTCATTTTGGTAAAATAAAACTTAAACTTTGAATTAAACTTAAGACAAATATTTTTATTTCAATAACTTTTACAATAAATATAAAATGTGTAACTAGCTGTATAAAATACTTTTACATGAGAAAATATAAAAAAAA